TCAATGTACATGTATGTACTTTGTTACTAGGTTTTAAGCATGGGGTTAATATAATCCCAGATACACTGGGAACATTGTCAAGCAAAAGAATATGACTTGAATTTCTGTATCATCACTATCATTAACATTGTTCCTTGAATAATGTAATAGATATGCATTCTTTAACTCATTCTGTCGACAAGTATCATTGAGCACCTGTTATGTATATAGCTTCTATAGAGATGCAGTGGAAAGTCACAGTCATGAACAGACAGTACACAATCCCTATTGCATGGAGCTTATATTTTAAATCAAGGAGCAATTAATTAACAGCTAGTTAAAGAATTAATTGTTGAACTGCATGTATTAAAAGTTCTGTGAAGGAAAAGCACAAGACTCTATTAAAGTGTAGAATAAGCTTGTTGACATCGTTTGCAGATGGGGACAGGAATCCCTTAAGACATGACATTCTAGCAGAGCAGTGGTGACAGAAGGTGCAGGGGAGAATTGAGGCATTCCAGGTACAGAAAAGAGTATGTGTGAGGGAACTGGTGCTGTAATACAAGATGGTGGTAACTGGAACTGAAATGATGGTAGTGGAGACAGAAAGAAAAAATGAAACTAAAGGTAATTTTGAAAGTCCAATAAAGAGGAATTTGTGAGGGCAAGGGAGAAAATGGAACTGGGGATGCCTCCTGGGCTCTGGTTTATGTGCTATAGTATAATTTCAGCCACTTATGGGGAGAAGAAATCCAATGGAGTGAATGAAGTTACCCTTCAGATACGAACATGTATGACCTGGCTATGGCACTACACAGAATTGTCCCAAGCGGCAATCAAAACTCTGGGGAAAAGGTATGGTAGAATAGTGATCATGGCATATGAAATTATAGGCAACTAAGGAAAGAGAAAGAGGACTGATCTCATGTTCAGTAAACTATTGCCAATAAGCACCCTCCTTTCCTTGCCATGTTTTTTTCTGAGCAAGTTAAAAACCTCCTTATGATATAATCATTTTAGAAAGTTGAAGTTGTATCCTGGCAATTCTTTAATGTATGTATATATACATACATGTGTATGTATGCATGAAGATTGGGCACCATCCCTCAATTCAGTCTTTAAAGGATATTATTGGCATCATCAAAATTTTTTTTAATTCTAAGGTTTTTCATCCCATCTTGATAAACATCAGTTGTTTAGAATCACTTTATTTCTAGCAGTTTACCTCTTCCTTTCATTAGTAAGATTACTATATATCTTAATAAAGTTAATTAGCCTTCCTTGATTTTCTCTGGCCAATGTTACCTTACTTCCAAACCATCAGTGTTCTCTGTAAAATCACTGATTTTCAGGGCTTTTATTGATATCCATCTCCCCACTTTACAAATGAAGAAAATGAGGTAGCTTGGGTCACATGGCAAGTTGGTGGTATAACCAAAACCATCCTCTGGGTATCCAGCCCTGAGCCACAATGCCTCTTTCTGTAGCCATGCCTTTCAGTTTTTCTTATCTCATAATTTGCTTTCTACTTTTCTTTTTCTCCCATGCTGGGTATCAAACCTGGAGTCTTGTGCATGCGAGGCAAGTGCTCTACCTCTGAGAGCTATATTCCCAGCCCCTGAAACTTTCTACTTTAAAAGAGACATACTTATTGCACATTTGCCTCCCCCAAAAAAGGAATATTACATCTGTTGTTCCTTCAAAGCTGTAGCAGTACTACTTGAAGAAAGATTCTTGTGAGGTATGCAAGAGGAGCTACGGTGCTCTTTCTTCCTCCCCTCTAAATTAGTGGCTGCAAAGGATCTGGCACCCTTTTCCTCAACTTCTTGACATCCTTGTTCCCATCATTTCTTTCTACAAGAAAAAAATTATATTAAGTCTTCACTATAATTAGAACACGGGAACCATACAAGAATATAACTTTTGATACTTTGATACATAATAAACCAGAATAAGACCAGAAAAAAAGAATAGTTACTTAAGAGTTTCTATTGAAACAATTTTTTAATATCCTGATGGCCTCTTTAAAAAATCTGATATTTAATTATGATACAGTTTGAGTATCCCTTATCCAAACTATGTGAAACAAGAAGTGCCTTGTTAATGAGATTTCATGGGGCTAGGACCCATGTACAAACATGAAATTCATTTATGTTTTATATGTGCCTTAAATACAGAACTGGAAGATAATTTTATTTAATATTTGAAATAACTTTGTGCATGAAGCAAAGTTTAAAAATAAGTAATAAGTAACATGTAAATATTATTACTTTAATTTGTTAAGCAAAATAAATTTATCATTACACACGGTGAAACCATGAAGAAGAGCATAAGTGATCATTATCCCACAAACTAACCTATTAAAATCCAATAGACTCTAGGAAGTGGTTTGAGAAATTAATAGTTGGCCTTTGTTAAGTTCTAGAAAGACAATGCAATAAAACTCCCTGCTAGATCATAGCTCATATGGGTTTGACCACAGTGGGCAAAGAGGTTGCCAGGAAGCATGCTCAAGGAAGAGAAGGATAGCTGCAGGACTAGAGGCATCCATGTTGAGTTTCTATTGTCTCAGCAGCAGATGTTTGACTGCTAGAATTGAGGAGTGGAAAGAACCAACCACCCTAGTGGTGGAAAGACAAGTAAAACAGAGGCTGTAGAGACTGCCCAGAATTCTTTATCAGGGAGGTTCCAGTTGAGGTAGACAAGGTACAAACCCCTTTTGCATATAGCTTGGGGTCCAACAATATTAACTTCTTGCTGTCTGAGAGTAAGAAGGGACCCTGCACAGCACTATGACCAGTGAAGCCATAGACAGAAATAGCAGGAAATGATGGAGAAGGAAAGAAAAAAACAGAACATTGTCAATGACCCTAGACTGATGTCAGGAGACCAGGGGAACTAATACAGCAAAGTGAGCGAAACCACAAAGTAACAGCCATCATAGAGATGGATCATGGGCAAATTAACCATAGGCTTTGGATAAATACTTATTAAACACCTCAGAACCAAAAACCCTTCTTGGTAGACTTAAGACCGCTGACTCTCCAGTTATTAGTGAGACTTTGCTCTAAAATTGACAGGAAGAGGTACAGATACTGTTCCCTTCATCCTTTTTAGGACTAAGTTGTTGCAGTATTAGCAATCAGTTAGTAAGTATGGTACTTACGAGAGTCCTCAGCACTGGAATATGTACATTGTCATCCTTGCCCTATTTAAGAAATATCTTGTTTCATCTCGAACTGAAAATGGCTCTCTCACATGCACCTTTCAACTTCATGATTGAGTCCATACCACCTGAGATTCAGTCACAGAAGTACATGTTTTCCAGTGCACTACTCTAAGTGGTGCCTTAATGGTAAAAGATATACTTATGGAACAATAAAATTTATTAATGAAATCTCAAACACCAGAGCAGTAGATAATCAGAAAAATTTTTTGACCAATATGCAGCCTTGAAAATGAAATGAGGTCAGGTCAAAATATATCAATAATAATAATATTCTATATACAAAGAAAATTGTTTTATGTATACTTTGATTGGATTGTAACAAACACTGTGGGAAAAGTACTATTTTATTGATAAGCAGTCAGGCAGAGAAAAACTTAGTAACTTATCTAAGGTACCACAATGCACATATTATGAAAATGAGAATTAAATGCAGATGTTTTGTTTGTTTATTGGCAGTACTGAGGCTTGAACTCATTGCTTCACACTTGCTAGACAAGTGCTCCACTGCTTGAGTCACATCTCCAGTCCTTTTTGCTCTGATTATTTTTGAGATAGGGTCTCACTTTTTTGCCCAGGCTGGTCTGAACGGCATTCCTCCTATTTTAGGCTTTCTGTCATGGCTAAAATGTCAGGTGCATATCACTGCATACAGCTTTTTTCCATGACAATGGGGTTTCACAATCTTTTTTTGTCTAGGCTGGTCTAGAATGTCAATCTTCCCAATACCAGCCTCCCAAGTAGCTAGGATCACAGATATTGAGGCACTATCACCTAGCTTATCAATGTGTTAACTCCATTTCCAGAACTTGTTTCCATATGACACCTGCCTTTTCTGTGTGCTAAGTGACAGCAAGAGTTTTCTTATTTGTTTGCACATTTAGTCAACAGCTATTAATTACATACCTCCTAGGTGTTAATCCTTATGCCAGGCACTGAGAATACTATGATTGACAAGACTAATTTCTGCCTTCAGAACAAACTAATAGTCTGGCAAAAAGACATAGACATGAAATCCAAACTTGTCGTTATGAAACAGTGAGGTGTATGCTATAACAAAAGGAATAAATAGAGTAGCACATTTGAGTTAGAGAGACTTATTAGAGGTATTGGTATTAATACTGATTTCCCAAGGGTGAGTAGGAGTTGAAGGAATGAGTGGTGTTACAAGACAAAAATAAAGAATATATAAAGTCACTCCTGAAGGAAAGATGACCCTAAGTCAGATCAAGAATAGGGAATGATCCAAAGGGTTTACAAATTCCACTTAGGAAGCCTATGCCAAATTTTTGACAAATTGAAGACATCCATCCATCCATCCATCCATCTATCCATCTATCCATTCATCCATTCTTCTTCCTTTCTTGCTCACTTTCTTCCTATATTCCATCCATCCTTTCTCCATCTACCCATCTATTCATCCATCTGTCCATATATCCACCTATCCATCCATAATAGGGGCTACATATTTATTAAACTTATTAATCTTAAAGAAAGACCTAGTATGTGTCTGGAATTTTGCCAAGCAGTGTAGATGGCATAAAAAAACATACAATGTTATCCCAAGTGTCAAGAAGCTTAAAATCTAATTGAAGAGATTGCCTGTGCACATATTACAATAAAAGCTGAATGTGGAACAGGTGCCCTAAAGGTACCCCTACAGAATATAATATGGAAAAATACCTGAGTATCATGGAAAAATGTTATCAGGCTGACATCAGACTAAATATTCTCTTTCTTTTGTTTGCTTGTTTGTTTTACCTTGTTTTGTTTCCTGACTTTTGTTCTTTGACAGATTCTGTGGCAACAGCCTCGGGGCCTCTACTAGTTGAAGTTGCCAAAACTCCTGGTGCCAGCCTTGGAGTTGCCCTAACTACCTCGATGTGCTGTAACAAACAGGTCATTGTCATAGACAAAATCAAATCTGCAAGTATTGCAGACAGGTGAGTGTTATAAAAAGTGTGTACTTCTCAACATTGCATGTGTGTTTTTAAGAATTATACATATACATATATACACACATAAGTAATACATGCACACACAGTATGCATACACACAGGACAAAACATCTCTGTTGTTAGTTGCAGGTAGGAGAAAACAAGTTAACCTTGTGGGACTTAAAGCTTTAATTGCCTAATCAGCCGCCCAGTGTTGTAATGCCACTTCCCATCCAGATGTTTGGTGTGGCCGTTAGCCATAGAAAAAAAGAGTCAAGGAACCAAGCAAGTTTTCTTACTGTGTGCTAGTGTAAAACAATCGCCTGCTCTTGATGTAGGGTAGCTGAACTGATCTTTATTAAATCCCATGCGAGAAGTCATGGGTTTTCCTGTGTGGATAACAATTAAATCCTGCTACCATAAAATTTCGTTCCTTTTTAAAAAAATAAATAAAAGAATATTATTTTAAAAATGCAATATTTTAAAACAGTGGTTTCACAACGAATGACATAATAAAAATAAAACTCATTTTTCCTTATTAATATTTTAGACTTGGAAGGTAAAAAGGGAAAGGGGGAGAAAAAGACTGCCTGCTGCCTCCCAGTGAATTATTTTCCAGCTCCTGGTGAGAAACCCCCATCTCCATAGCTGAAGTAGTTCAAGTAACATGGAAGAATATTTGTAGACAGAAACAGACTTAAAATGTTTTTGTCTTGAAAAGTGGACCATTTACAAGACTTGAACAACCAGTACACCTTGTAGTGTCCAGCCCTCTTCACCTGCCCTCACCCTGCCTGGAAATCCTCCAACTGTGGTATGGTGACCTACAGCAATCCCAGTAGTGGTCAGTCTACAGCTCCGCTGTGCACAGCCCTTTAACAGTGGCAGCCATTGATCCAGGGGTGTTCTCCAGTTCAATGGTGCAGGATGCTTTAATTTTCTCCCTCTGATTTTTCCCATTCCGCAGCGGGTAACCAGTTTAAGGAGCTGTCCACTTGACTGGTATGTCAGGATGCTGACTGCTGTGTTTGCTTTTCTCAAACTCATCCAGTAGCCAGTCTCTTGAGTTCAGCAAGATGTAACAGCTAGTCCTCCATCCCCAGCTTTCCCCTTGACTCACCATGCAAGCCTGGTTTTATTATTCACTTGACTCCTGCATAATTCCATTATAATCAAGAGCTTTTGTACTAATGTTTAACTCCAGAATAACAAAATAGAGCACAATAATAAAGAACTGATGAACTGGGAGCTTCTAGGAAAGGATTCTGAGAAATAGTAACCGAATCTCCCCAAGTTATTCTCAATCACACATCGTACAGATCCTATTCCAATTCTGTGAGTCACATCTTAAGATTCTGAATCTTTACCAGCTCATATTTATAGATAGAAAAGCCTAGGAGGAGAAAACACAGAACAAAGTCAAGGGAAATTCTGTCCTGTTCTCTTCACTCCTCTCTTCCTGACTTCCCCTCAGCGTGTAACATCACCACTCCAAAGTAACATATATTTTAAGAAGGACAAGGGAAAAAATTTTCTTGCATTTTTCTATATTGTCTATAAGATTTTACGTTCCTGTTCATTCCCAAGGTGCCTAAAATTTGACAGATGATATTTCCTATAACACTCAAACTTTTCCTTTTTTTTTTAAGTAAATGAAACGTGGTGACATTCTAACTGTGAAGGACATGAAAGTCATCTTCCAAAGAGAAAAGCACTTCATTGTCCTGAGTGTTTCTCCTTCCCATAGGTGTGGTGCACTGCACGTGGGGGATCACATTCTCTCCATCGATGGCACCAGCATGGAGTATTGTACACTTGCTGAAGCAACCCAGTTCCTGGCCAATGCCACTGACCAGGTCAAGCTGGAGATTCTTCCACATCATCAGACCCGCCTGGCCCTGAAGGGTCCTGACCATGGTGAGAACAGCCCTCTGGCTAAATTTCTTTTTCTTGCTCTTGCAGTTTTACTATGGTTAAGAGAACTAGAAAGCAGAAAGACACCAAGTTTAATTCTGCCTTTATCATTTCTCTTCAAAACAACAGATTATCTTGGTTTATTCTTCATTTTCCAAATCCCTTTTTCCTACCCACACTTAGTTTACTGGAAGCCCCAAAATGGAAGTAAGAAAGAAGCATTGTTTGAAATAGAATTCTTTTTCTTCAAGTCTTTGGTAAAATTGGGTGTGTTGAAAAAGGCAATAATTTAACTTCCAGGTATTCTTATTGAATTTTCAGTCTATCTGAAGGACAGTAAGGGCAAACAGTAAAATGCACTTTTTAAAAATAAAGTGGATATTGAAAGCAGACCTTTCCAATATTTAGAATAAGGATCCAGTTGTAAGAAGGGCTGACTTTTGGTATATTTTGTCTTTTTGCAAAAATGTCTTTTTTCCTTTGAATGAAAGACAACCTTTCTGACCAAACCTCTTTCCTAGGAGAATCAGATTATTTGACTCTATTTATGTAATGAAAAGTGTCAGCTGAAGGAATCTGCGTTTTCACAGACTTGAAATTCACAGTTTCACTGAGTATTTATATCCCATTCACTTGGGCATCTTAAACAAAGCCTGGTATAAGAAAAGGGACTTGGAGCCCCAAATCCAATGAAGCCAGGCTCTCTAGTGGAGTTTTTATTCTGACTCCTTCTCCTACCTGTTCCTTAAACTAAATTCTCTCTTTTTTTATCCTCAAAGCAGAAGAGCTCACTAGTGTTGGCAGGTGTAGCCTGAAAGGGGAAACCACATTTCTGTATGTTTAGAGAGAGCACAATTTTCCCTAGAATTGAAGTTTTGCTTATGGGGAGGTCATCATATTATGTGTTTCCCACCTCCTCAAAGGCACTGCACTTCTCTACAATTTAAAAAAACAGAGGGACAGGATGATTTTTATACTGTATGAGTCAGCTGGATGCATCCTTTTTAATTAAGTGGAACTTAGACAGCCCTGGAGCTAATGAAAATCTCTAGTATAACACTACCCTTATCAGATTTTAATTTTACACAATGGAGTAGAGAATTGATGCAGTGTAAGCAGGTTAGGAAAGGGAAATCAGTGTCATTGACCAGAGATGGCAAGAGCTATCAGAAAGTGCAATTCATGGAATGCACACCATTTCTGCCAGGAGGCCAACTGCCCTTCCCAACACACTGGCTGAGAGGAGAGATTTCTGTTTCTTCTAAATTAATCTGAAGTCACCATTGATTTGGGGCACAAAAGGTTCTTTCAGTGTGGCACTTTCCTAAATTCTGGTATCAGTGAATCAGAAATGTGTGACAAGCCCTCTTAAAATGTTATCACCTTTAGCGGACTCATTTATTTTACTTTTATTTGCCCTGTATGCAAATCAGAGCAATAAAAATATTAAATATTTTTACCTGCCAAGATCATTTGAAAAGATGAATTTATATGTTAAAACATATAGACAAAGAACACATTGTTTTTGTTCACTGCAGAAGCCCTGATGTCACTTATATCTGGGAACTTGCAATCTGACAGTCTAGTAACTCTAGCTTCCATTTCTGACTTCATCATCTACTTTGACTGAACGTTGTTCCCTATCTTCCTTATTTAGCATATAAGCATTTCTCCTACATTTTACATAAAAATCAAAAGGAACTAGCTACTAAATATAATTAAATAGTAGTCAAGAAGGGAAATGATACAAAAATTTTTGATGTTTTTGCAATTCTCAACCTTTTGTTTCTTTCTATTCATAGAGAAAAAAAAATCCATAGTTTTATTACCCTTTTTTCCACAAGAAAGTTCTGTTCATTTTTCTAATATTCCGGATGCCTGAGGAGCATATCTGTCATCCCATAATGGACAGAGACAACATTTCCCATATTTTATTAGCAACAAAACATTGACCACAGTGTTTTCAGGACAATGTGGAAGTGATTATATAAACTCAGGATAAGAGATCAGCTGTGCCTTTCATTGGTAAACAGAAGCTGACAAAAAAGAGTTTTCAGGGCTGGGATGTGTGCGTGTCAGTGGTAGAGCACTTGCCTAGCTAGCATGCACAAGGCCCTAGGTTTGATCCCCAGTAGGGAAAAAGCAACAAAGAAAGAATTTTTAGTGAAATTAAAAAATGTCCCCACTGAGGGCCTTTGGGAGAAAGAATCATGATTGAAGGAGGCTGAGATTTTGGGAAGTAAGATGTGACCAGAGTTAATGGATCTGATTCATTCGGTGCCAGGAAGACACTCCACTTTCTGAGCTCCATGGTCAGTCACCAAAGCAGCTGCTGCCCGTTCTCTCAGACTTCCTGGAAAGGGCAGGTGAATATAATTCAGAGGAGAAAGGACTCAGTTTCTCTGTCACAAACCTCTTAAGACTGCAGCAATGGTGCCACCGATGAAGGGTGTGAGAAGCATTACATCTTAAACTTGCTATTCACTTTTCTGGAAGAGAAGACTTAAGAACACCCACAGGAAGAAGCAATGCAGTGTGGTGACTTAATTCTAGCTCTACCACTTGGCACCATAAGCAAGTTACTCAAATTTTCTGTGTCTGTTTCTCATCTGTAAAGTGGGGATTGTAGTAATACCTGCCTTATAGGAATATTGTGAGCATTATCTGAGGTAATCCATGAAAGGGCACTTCACTCAGTGCCTGCTATAGAGTAGGAACTTTGTCGAGGTAGGCTGCCACTGCTACATAATTTAATAAGAGAATGGGCTGTGAATGATCTTTGCAAAATGAAAGCACATGTTAAAAATGTATTAAGCTCCTGAAATACTTAACTAATTTATGAGTATCAAGTATAACACAATAAATACAAAAGATTTGGAGTGTACATTTAAAATGTGCAGTAACTCTTCTCTGTTCCATGTTATTTGTTGAAGACATTTTGCATTCATTATGTATGGTGTGCAGTTTTGTGCAGCATCATATCGTTTTTTGTCTCTGAATTCTTTCACATGTATGAAGATTCAGTCCCTAGTAATAGTCCAGAGTCAAGGTAAAATTCATGATTTAACATTTTACATGCCTATAACAAATGGCACATCAGAGGCAGTCAAAAATATGTTCCTTACTGGTTGTTTTAATTGAGTTAAATAGTCCTAATGAATGCCCAGTAATTTTCAAAGCACTGAATAAAGAACTGTGTCAAAATGTGTCATAAGATTGTGAACTGTGTTCATGTACCCTGGCTTCATTGGAAACACAGACAGTACTTTGTAAAGAGTACAATAGAGTAGCTGTGGTTGTAGATAAGCCAGACACAGCAATAACTGCATCTTGTTAAAAAAAAAAAAAAGGTATCTTGTGTACCACAAGTAGGTAGAATGAGGATGGTGAAAGAGAATCACTATGAAAGAGAATCACTAGCGACTGCCTCAGATACTCTTACCTCAAGGGGATTGCTGCTGCAGTGTAACCACAATACTCCAGCTGGCATTCCTGTTCTTTTACCCAGTCCTTTATTGATTCATTCTTTCATTGATCATTACGGATCAGGCACTGTTCTTTTTGCTCAATTTCTCTGATGAGCAAGACAGGCAGAATAGATTCCTATTCTTATAGAATTTACATTTTGCTATGAAGAGACAAACATTGAAAATGTATTATACAAATAAGGTCAGTTTGGACAGTAATAAGTACTATGAAGAATAGAAAGCAATAACAGGTAACATGGAAGAGGCAGCTACTTCAGCCAGAGAGGTCAGCTGCAACTTTTCTGCAGAAGTAACATCTGAAATGAGACCTGAATGATGAGTAAGAGCCAACAACTGGAGGGAAAATAGCAAGTACAAAGGCCCTGAAGTGACAAGGAGGACTGGCTTGTTCTTTGAACAGGCATAAGACCAGTATGGCTGAACTGTATGAATAACTTGGAGAATGATTCAGATGAAGCTAAAGAGATAAGTAGGGACTGCATTTGATTCTCTTTGCAATGTGAGCCATTTAAAAAGGGGTGACACATGATAAAAGCGAGAGCACACAAGTAAGGGGTGAGGATAGGTAAGACACCTAAAAAACTAGCTAGCATTTGTTGCCCTTAACTCAGAGAAACTAAAGCAGATACCTTAAAGCAACTGAGGCCAATAGGAAAAGGGGAACAGGTACTAGAAAAAAGGTTAGATCAAAAAGAATTAACCTAGAAGGTAACACCCACGCACAGGAAATCAATGTGAGTCAATGCCCTGTATAGCTATCCTTATCTCAACCAGCAAAAACCCTTGTTCCTTCCTATTATTGCTTATACTCTCTCTACACAAAATTAGAAATAAGGGCAAAATAGTTTCTGCTGGGTATTGGGGGGGGAGAGGGAGGGGGCGGAGTGGGTGGTAAGGGAGGGGTTGGGGGCAGGGGGGAGAAATGAACCAAGCCTTGTATGCACATATGAATAATAAAAGAAAAAATAAATAAATAAATAAATAAAAAGGGGTGACATAGCATTTCCTGCCAGACAGAATGAGCCTCACTGACACACAACTTGTTCAGTCACTGGGGTTTAATAGCTCAGAAGGGCCCCATACTTGGTTTAATGCCCTGCTACAGCTGTCTTGGAATTCTTAATCCATTTGAACAAGAGGCCCTGCATTGCTGTTCACCTGACCCTGAAAATTATACAATAATTCTCTGGCTGATATAAACCTGTTCTTGTTGGAAAGGAAAAAGAATGAGAAAGACTTGACCTTAAAAATACACTTGCTGTATGTGGGGGATAGTAAAACGTGACTGTTTCCAACTTGGAAGGAAAAGATAATTCATCATCACATCTACTGGCAATCTCAGGGTTTCCAGAAAAAGCTGATGGGTTTGGTCTATTGTAAGACAGCATCATTTGGCTGCAGAGTACACCTAATTGGTGCTGGTTTAGGAGCCTTTTCTATCTTTAATTTTTATTGAAATATAATTGACAAAATTGAATTTTTTTTAAATAAGGAGTCCCATGATCAAACATATGTATTTAAAAGATCACACATTTAAAAGATTCACCCTAGCTATGTGTGAATACTGGAAAGCAGGTATGCAAGATATGAATCAGGGAGACAAGTCTGAAGTTATTGCAGTGGTCTAGGTGAAGGAGATGGTGGCTTGAACTAGGGTGGTGCAGAGGGAGAGAGAACTCTGACCTGAAACAGCAGTGAGGTAGAGGAAAGGGTCAGAAGAATTTAGAACTACAAAATTATGGTGGCTATGAAAGTGTTCTTCTGCAGATTTCACAGTCCTCTGAAACTCAACGGACCAGTGAGTGAAATTTGTTGAGCAAGAGACACATTTATCTTCTTTAAAGGACACTTTATTGTTGGTAATAGGTAGAATGGTAAGCAGAATCAATATTACTCATTGTTCACTTATTTTTATTTTGTGGACCAGCACCACACTGAGCACCATATGTGCATAATTTTCACAGCAGTCCTGCAGAGTAGATGTTTTCATGATTTCCTGTGGACATATGAGGAAACTGAGGCTCAGAGAGACTGAGTGGCTGGCAAAGTCATATAGAGAGGAAGGGTTCAAGCAGAACTAAAACCCAGGTCATTGTCACTCCATGGTGACCGTCCGTGCTAGGGCTGTGTTCCATGTACTGTCTTACTCAAGAAAGGATGAGAAGGGCCAAGGAAGCTGACTTCATGGACGGTAGAATTTAAGCTCTTATCTAAATGACCCTCCTTTAAAAAATATATGCAGTGTTCAACCTCTCTATGTGAATACTGTTAAATAATTCACATGTCAGATACTTAAATTAGAATCACAAAAGCAGAACAAGATAAAAATGTATAGTTATTTTTAACTCTTTCAGACTGTTCAATGAAAATCTTCCCATTACACGTAGTAACAAATATCATATTACATTTTAGAACTCTGGGTAGAAAATCAAATCTTAGTGACATTGAAATTAGAATGGAAACATTATTTAAAAAATAAAAGGAACCCCAAAACTTTAAAACAAACACTATCACAATTTTATGGTAGCTTAAAGAAATATAAGAACATACAAAGTATTTTAAGAACTAAATATTTCTAATGCAAAAAATAATTTTTTCAAAAAGAAGCCATAAAATATATTGAGACTTTTATCTTCTCCTTATTAAGTCAGGATACAGATAAGATTCTGATACTGACAGCTGATTAGAGTGGTTCATTGTTGAGGAAAAGCAAGTCCATGTGGTGAAACTTAGTGTAATTAAAATGTCAGAGCAGTAAATTGTGATGTGTAACCAGTAAACCACGCAAATCATGAGCCAATGTGATTTATTGTTCTTTTCTTTTTCTCTTAAACAAGTGCTACTAACCTGCCAAGATGTGCAAATCTTTAATTACTAACCCTATGCCATAGATCATTATGGAACTTTTAAGTTAAAAAAAATGGTTTTAATCTTTGCTGTGAAGCATGGGGGAGATTAGAAATTGGTTCAGTAGCCATTTAAGAAGGAGAAAAATGGGGTGGGGAAAGACATGCATCATTCTTGGGAAGATGAAGTTTCCAAAGCTGGTGTTAATCGTCTGTTTTGCTGACCACTGAGGAAAGGGCAAAGCCAAGTCGATTTTTTTTCTTTGAAAGCAGCTTTCATTTTTGTTACAATTTTTTTTAATTTGTGCAATTCAGTTACTTTTTCCTCTTTTTTTTTTTTTTTGGTTCTTTGTTTTTCTTATTTCTCATCATCACTTCATATGGGCAGTGAAAATTCAGAGGAGCGACAGACAACTTCCCTGGGATTCCTGGGCCAGCAACCAGTGCCACTATAACACGTACCACCCTGACCATGGCAGAGCGCCAGCCCTGACACTCCCGAAAGCGCCTCCTCCAAACAGCCCTCGTAATGTTCCACTACTTCTCCTCCGGTCTTTCATTTAAATTATACTCTTCACTCCTTCCTTCAGCTCATTAACTCATTACATCTTTGGCTTCATGGATGTTGTCTGCTTTTTTTTTTTTTTTTTTTTCAGTAACAAAATGTTATTTCTGACATCTTCTGATTCGTTTTCTTTTCCATTAGAAAGCATTTGTCATTAAGAAAGGATGTAAATGTTCAGAATGCTTTATATGCAATTCAGGAGATAACAATTCAGAGTATTATATAGATTACAGTGTATAGACTCTTGGAGCTTTGTGTCTGTAAAATCACTTATGAAAATCATGTCGGAAAATATCTGTGAAAATGAGATTATGTATCTGATGCATAGAGTTGTTTTATGGAAAAGCTTGTCTTAATGTTTTTATTTTGTCTAAAGCAAAATTCAGAAAGTCTCTGTGTTCCTCTATACAGCTGAGGATCCTGCTAGTTCTCAGCACATAAAAACTGTGTAACTCTGAGATTCTAAAGCACTGGCTCCCAGCTCTGAAGGCCTGGTGTCTGTTTGGTTGGGGTACCGAGTAACCTCTGCTGTACATCACGTGTTTTTCTGGGTTGCTACCGGTTGGCAAGGGTGGCAGGTTTATGCCCCACCTGGAAATGCTCTATGCCAAGTCTTCACTCTCTTACAGCAGCTATGGTGTCTTCATCCTTCTCTCCTACCTCCATGAGCGCATACAGCCTGAGTTCCCTGAACATGGGGACTTTACCTCGAAGCCTCTACTCCACTAGCCCACGTGGAACCATGATGAGGAGGAGACTGAAAAAGAAAGACTTCAAAAGCTCACGTAAGTGAAATGTTAGCCAGTGGTAGTCATTTGGCCTGCAGGAAGCATGTGGACATTGGACATACTGAAACCTATGGGAAGAGAATTTTGAAGGTTTAAACGATCAAGTATATAGGAAGTAATGAACAGCTCCTACAAGACAATGATTGCACTGCATATAACTTGAGACTGAATTAGTTCATACCATCTTTGCATGCAACTTTTTATTTGAGATTTTTTTCTTACTCTTTTTATGTTAAAAAATAATCAAAGATGTGATTTTTCTTTTAAGACTCCTTTATATTTTGGATAGCTCTGGACACGAACCTTTGTTCTTACTTTCTTATTCCTGCTAAAGAAATTTTGTACAAATTCTATATCCCCCTTTTGATAAATACAAGAATCTCATGCATTTGTTCAATGTTTTTGTAAAATTCATCCCAAATTATTTTGCTTGACCTTCTCCAAAAAATCAGTGAGTTTGAACATTCCTTTTCAAATTATGTCTCATTTCCCAAGTTCCCATTACTTCCCTCATGAACCTGTCCTAGTCAGAATCACTTCTCTCACATGTATTTATTATCTATGACAGCATTAAAAGGGTTGGAAGCATGCCCATCTTTACACACATCCTAAAGTCTAGGAGCTCCAACTGTCATGCTTAGCAGTATTATCTTTGGAGATATCCATGCATGTATAAACCAAGCAACACTTAGAAGATGTATTTGACTCCTTGCTTTGCAATAGCTGGCTGTTTGTATAAAGAAAAGAAGATGATTGAATATCTTAATGGGAAAGAAACACAGATCACCCCTTAAGTTTTCTTTTCTGTTGAGGAAGATTATCATCTCCCACCATAACCACATTACTTTTGTGGGAAGACAATCCTTCCTTTCCAACCAGATCTTATCATAGCTTGGAAAGGTGTGAGTAGTTCTTGCCCTGTATCTTTTATGGTGGATGTGACTGTGTCCCTGAAAAGAAACCTAAGGAAGATGGGTCTCTTTCTGTGCTTACCATGAAAATGAAAAGTAAAGAACATTCTTGAGCAAATAAAACCAAATCTAAATAAAGCCAAACCTGGATAATCCCAGCCTGGTATTGGAATAGAATGTTCTTGTGAGTAGTGGTTGGCTATTTTAGCTCTTTTTAACTTGTTTGCCAGGAACTCAACATCCCTGATGGATCTTTTACCAATCCCTTCAGTGCCACCAACACCATGGGACACTAGCCATTGCCCACACTGGGAAGCATTTTTTTTGTGTTACAGGAACTTGAAGTTTTCCTTACATAAAAAACCATAAGAAAAGATAAGGCCACCATCTTTGATTTGCCTGTGGTATATTCATGATTTTTGACTTGCCTATCCTTTCAAATATAAAGAGATTTGTCATCTTTAATATATGAAAATGACAATAAATTGAAATTAGAATGATGGAAGATTAAGATTAGTCAAAGAGAAAACAAGAAGCACTAGAGACCCACTCATTTCTTAGCTGAGATTAAATTGTGTACTCTTGGAAGAAACCAGTTGTAGGCAATGCAGTGAACTGGTTATGAACCTAGACTCTAGAAACAGAAGGCCTCTCATTTTAGCATCACATCTTTTTGCTGGACAGTAAACATTATTTGTTTGCTACATTGCATAGTTTGTGTTATATACCTGAATCTGAATCATCACACATGAAAATCTATTGTTACAATTTTCAATTGTAAACCTTTTCTACAATAGTTATACTTTGCCATTTTACGTAGATAGGTCTTGAGTCTTCCATTTAATGTCTTCAGGGTTTGAAGTGGATTTATATGTATATATATATATATATATATTTTTTTTTTTTTTTGCATATAATGGCTTCAAGGGCACTGCTGTCACTGACAGAAACAGGCTAAAAGCCCTCAGCAGGGAAGAACAATTAAAATGAATTCATTAATGTTTGTACTTCTGCTTCAGAGGCTACCATTTGTTTATATTAGGTAAAACTTGCTGTGTTAATTAAGGCCATTAGTAAACACGAATGACTGATAATATGTTTGGCTATTGCAAGTTGATATTTACATGTATTGAATTTTGTAGTAGGAAACAACGCTGAGGCCACAGTCACTGATGCCCATAACCAGCTCATAAATTCTCTCTTGAATCAGCACATTATTCTCTAATGTAGTAGAAATACAAGCAGAAACCCACTTCCAGAAATTTCTATTCATGTTTTCTGTAGACATTAGCCACTAGATCACCACTGACAATGCATACAACAAGATGTTTATTGTGTTTCAGGAAAGCATACATTTTATATTTTAATCAAGCAATAAAACCAAAAAATGCTATGAATTTTTATTCTCACTTCAAAAAGACCTGAAAAAAATAATGATATTGTTCCAAATTCCCACCCCTTGCCAAAATATTGAAAATTTCTTTTCTTTGTTTTATTGCTTAAGCTTGATTGGTTACATTAGATGTGAAAGTCTTCCCAAGTAACTGAGAGTAAAAATTTTATTGCCACTTTCACTATACCCTGGTGTATTTCTCCCACTTTATTTATGTCTTTATTCTGTGCCACCATTTGCTGCCCACTTCCTAATAGTTATGTTTCTATAGCAACTAGGCCATTTGTATGGATGGTGAATCATGGCAAAAGTCAGAAATATAATAAAAAGTCTCTTTGCTGTATTGGTGATGAGTAGAGGCCAGAGCTTGCAAAACAGAAAAAAAAAAATTCACATATATTTCTAGTACAAAGTAAGGACATGGCAAGAAAAGAATGGAATATTCTCCCATAAATATTAAAACATTCTGTATCATTGACCAAAGGGAGAAATACAGAAAGTCTGTAATAACACATTACAAGACTAAAGCAGGAAGGTGCCATATTTGTTTCTCAAGGAGAATGATGAGTTCACTGAGCTTTAGGTTTTGAGGAGAGTCACAAAGCCCAGGGAGGGTGGCAGAGCTATGTCATAGAGGAAATTCTCTTGCATCCTCTTCCAGAATCTTACTGGCCTTGCCTCCACTGCCTGGGCTGTCCTCCTGCTGCCACAGAGGCCAAGGCTCTTTCCTAAACCCCATCAGGCCCCTGTCTTGGCAGCATGACTGAGCAGTGGCTCTAGCTTGTTCCTTCCTGCACATAGCCTGTTTCCAGTTGGCAAATAGCAAAAGTCAGAACACATACCAGAGTGGCCTTTGCTCTTAGGTCACTATCACTTACTACTAGAGAGGGTGACATTGAAAAGAGCTGAAAAGAAGAAAATGAAAAAACCTAACAAATTTTATGTCTATTCCCACCGACCCTTGAAGAAAGAACAGAAGATGAAAGCTGCTCATGGTAAGCTTCTAGAAGTAACCATGCATAGAGCCCTCATGTGGGAAGCTCAGAAGCTGCCTACCACCCTTATATCTTGCAGATACGGAGCTGTTGACTACCTCTTCTGCCCTCCTGAACCAAATCACATGATTCACAGTGCATTGGAGTCATAGAAGTCAATCCTAGTATGGGACAATAGGGAGATAAAGGTCTCAAATAACAGGACCAAATAATAAAAGCATCTTATGCTAATAAGCCTTTCAGGCATAAGCCTTTCAGGGGCCATATATGGTTATATATGCCTGAAATCCTAGCTATTCAGGAGGTAGACGTAGGAGAATTGCAGTCTGAGGCTGGCCTGGCAAAAGTATGAGACCCTATTTGAAAAATAAACTAAAGAAAAAGGACTAGAGCCAGGCGCCAGTGGCTCAGGCCTATAATCCTAGCTACTCAGGAGGCAAATATCAGGAGGATCGCGGTTCAAAGCCAACCCCACGCAAATAGTTCTTAAGACCCTATCTTGAAAAAAACCCATCACAAAAAAGGGCTGGTGGAGTGCCTCAAAGTGTAGGCCCTGAGTTCAAACCCCAATACTGAAAAAAAGAAAGAAGAAAAGGAAAACGACTGGGACATAGCTCTTGTTAAGCAAACCCAAGCCCCTGAGTTCAATCCAGAAAACTGCTAAATAAATAAATAAGCAAACAAACCTTTCAGCATGTTTGCTCTCTTTACTTTTTAAATGCTTCTCATATCTGATAATAAACCTCACTTCACTGCCTCTTAAATTAAACAAACACTTGGAAGATTTTTTTTAACATTTAGAGGCAAAAGTTTAAAAATCTCTGTCTTTGGATTCCCTTTCCCTTCCTTACACTAGGAATGATAGGAATTATGAAAGACAGTTATTCCCAATAAAACTGAAGAGTTGTGAACAAAACATGACTTGCATGAATGAGAATGGGGCAGAGCAGACATGAATTCTGAACACAGCTTGGGTGCACACTAGCGAGCCAGACTCAAGTGTAGGGTGTCAGCAGTTTAGTCATTTACATCTTTACTTTGAGTAAAAGTAGATAATCTTAGTGCTAGAGCCAATAACTTATAGCCTATTGCTAGCTAAATGCCTTGCAGGAGTATCTACTACTGGAGAGGAATTTTCCACTGAAATCTTAACCTACAGGGCTATAATTCATAAGTCACCTTTATTTTCTTTTGCTAGTTGGCTATATTAATGAGGCAGACCAATCAAGCTCATCCTTTTCTTCTACAAATAATATTGGTTGGTTTTATCTTTTGGCTTTTTATCTTTATGTCTATAACTTAGCTTTTTTATGTATAAATATAGTTTCTAAGACTTTAATATGTATAAGTAATCAATACAATTTCAAATGAAGTTTTCCTGTTTCAAAGAACAGATTCCAATATTTCAAAGGACTTTTAGAAATAATTATGAAATTTAAGTTATATAATTCTATAGTTACAAAATAAATAACTTTATATAATTACAAATCAATATATAATAAATACATAAATTATTATAAGTCCTAAGTTAAGTTGCCTAATAATTTCTGTCACATCAACTTGTCTCCAGATAGAGCTGATAAATTTAATGATACCCTGATTGAATTAGTACTTACTTCTATTTCCAAAATCTTCTAAGGTGAAACCCCTGAATTCTCTTCTCTATTCCCAAAATTATAGCAAGTTACTCCTTTGATAAAGTCTTCACTACATCTAATCTAATCCCACCTATTACTATTCAAGTAACTTTTTTTTAAATTTCTGGTTCTTTCTTAATGGAGGTGGGAAACAGCTAACTCAAAAACAGATTTTAATTCCAGTTAAGTGGTCTCAAAAATCTATCCCAAATTGAGCTCGCAAGTGGAAGAAAATGCTGATGTGAACCTGTAGACAGATTCACTTAGAAGAGAACATTGCTATTGAAATCCAAAAAGCTTCCCTAGAAGGTGAGTAGAAATAACCTGCCACATAAATGATGCCCTAGCATTGTTCTCCTGTGAGTTATAGCTGGAAAGAACACAGCTCTCCACATTCTTACCAACAGAAAGAGGTAGCCTCTAGTGGTTTTGTGAGCAATCAAAAGTACACTCAGTATCAACAAAGCCACACTAGAAAATGTAACTAAATTAATATATGATAGTCCATGTCAGACACTGGAACTGCAGGCCAAATCACTACCTACACAAAACCTTTAATTGTAGCTACCCCTACCCATACACATCACATACTACTTTAACCAGAATTCAGTTGAGGCAGAATGATGATGGTGCCTCTTAAGGAACAGTAGGGTTTTTTCCCTTACCCCCTCCTAAGCAAATGATCCATCTCACCCTCCCTTAACCCTGTCTACAGTGGTCTACCAAGATAGAAAAGTTGGGGCCCTGAAGAGTGACTTGTGGGTCCTTATGGCAACTCAGCAGCATCTACATGAAGTGCTAATTCCAAAAAGAAAAATGTAGCTGATAACATAAAATGATTCGTTCCTCATTTATTCAGCTCTTACAGATGTTCCAGGCACTAAGATTTCAAAGGTAATCTTGAGATGATCTAGTGCCAACCTTTCATCAAGAACTCAGGGTCAAGCAGAGAGACAGGCAGGCAAATAAAAATCTGATACTGAAATAGGAATGTGGAAATGTAGGAAAGTAAGTAATTCCGCCTGTATTAAAATGGAAAGGGGCTTTGACATCCCAGGGGAGGGACTAAAGAGGCAGAGGGCACTATGTACATGAAGACACAAAGATATGCAAGCAGGTCTGGAGCACATGGCACAGGAGGGTATATGAGACTAGGTGGGCGGGACAGGATGAATTTATGAATAGTTTTGTGTGCACTGCTAGAATTGAAAAGTTCGGTTTATAGGAAGAGAGCCTTTGAAATATTCCAACCTGGGAAACAACCTTGGCCTATTAGAAAGCTCACCCTGGCAGCAAGTTGGAGGAGCATTAGCAGGGATACTGGTAGGAAATTGATAGAGTAACCTGTAGTAGTGATGGGAGAACCCCATTTTAACTGGAAGAGGGAAGTTGGGGCCTTATCAAGGAAAGTTCATTTGGCAATAACATCTAGAAAGCATTGAGAATGAGGAGAACTCAGAAATAAGTACATTGGAATTGTTGAAATAAATTGTTGAAATAAAAAGTAATGAAAGTCTGATTGAAAGTATAAAAAGGGAAAAGATTTATGCAAGATACATACAGGTTCTTACAGGTTCTTCATCCTGTAAGAACCTAGCAATTGATTAAATTTGAGACAATGGGAGTCATGAGTCAAAGGCCCAAAGACTGAAAGCATGATGGTCTTTTCATAGAAATGGGAAAGGAATGAGAAAGGCGAGATGGTTTACCTAATTTTGAAAATAATAACTTTGAGAAGCCAGTGAAATGTTTGTGAATAAGATATGTATCAAAAGAAGAAATTGATCACTGAAATTTGAATGAAACTCGATAGACTTAAGAAAATGCATGCAGAGGTTGTATTGTAGAACTTAGGATAGAACTGGAGGGGGAGTCTTTGTAAAATGTACAGAAGGAGGCAAAGTTTCTAGCAAGGGACTGAGACAGCAAGAAAGGAAGAGCAGAGTTTCACTGACACCTACAGAGCAATTTCAGAAAGAAAGGGATTGTCCTGGCTAGTTGCTGCAGAGTAGTTAAGAGCAGATGGAGCCATTGACTTTTTGGCAATCAGGAAGTCATCTCTGAGAACAGTTTTAGCAAAGAATGAAGGGAGAAGACAAATTTTAAACAATTTCATAATCGGTAAAAATCTATAGGCAGAGGTCAAAAACTAGGAGAGTGAGTGGGAAAGTTCAGAAAAGCAGCAAGAGAAAGTTTTTATGGCACGAAATCATGGAGTGGTCAGGGGATAATATCAAAAACACTAAAAAGAGGTTGGGAGCATGGCTAAAGTGGTAGAGTACAACCTAGTGTCTTCATGGCTGTGGATTCAAACCCCTATACCACAAAAACAGCAACAACAAATAAACCTAAAACCCACTAAAAAGAGGAGTGAGCCTTGAAATGAAAGAAAGGTAATGTAAAAAAAGAAATTGGTGGTACAGAAGTTTAGGCCGAGATTAATATTATTTAAGGAATGCTTGTTAAATTGGTTGAATTTTTTTATTCTTATAGAAAATGAACTAAAGCATAATGTTTGACCCTTATAACAATAGAAATGTTTAAAAGTGACACTGTAAGAAACCAAATAAATTTCCAACAAAGAGTTTCAGGGCCCAAGTGAGAGTAATATGAATTTATAGTGATTTTCTCTAACTCTCTTCAGCAACTTTGTTACAGCTGTGAAGTTAACTGAGCATTAGCAAACAGCATAAAATATTCGAGTAGGGCGAATCACACGAGGTTTAAGAATCTCTGCTAAGAGCAGATGCATCATTGAAATGGTCTCCGGGGTCCATGTGGAGTTAATGAGAAATGAGAGCAGTGAGGGAGAGGCTATGGTAGACAACGACTTTACAGCTGAATTCCCCAGAGTCATGCATGATGCTAGGGAACACTTCCACGATCTACCCCTACTCTGTTTCTACAAGGAATGCAAAGGGTCTACTTAGGATACTTTCATTCAAAAAGGAAAAATTCTTGTTAGTGATATTATTTGAAAACCAGTGGATCAGGAGACAAGTGAAAGAGAATGGGATTACAAGTCATGAAGAGGAAAATGTTAGATTGTAGGGACTGGGAAACATGACCAATATACAGGGTGTGTGATCCATGAGGGGATTCGATATTGAGATCTTAGAAATCAATCCATTTTGAAGGAAGGGCTGCTGACAGTTCAAGTAGGCTGGAGTAGCTAAGAGCTGAAGAGCCACAAAGCCAACATGTTAGAAGGTTGTCACCATGATAAGATCAAAGAAAAGCTACAGGTAGAGGAAGGAGACAGATTAAGAATAAAAACCTGAAGTCAGCAAGGATAAAGGACAGAACTTGGAAAAAGTAGAAAACTGGATTTGAAGATGAGACAAAGTACCGATTATGGAATTTTAAGGAGGAGCAGTTTGAAGGGGAAAGCACTGTGTGTGAGGAGCAAGTATTATAAATCTTTCTCTTTCCTTGTCCCATGTAGGGAGGGTGAAAAAAATGGCTTGTGCTGGGAGAGAATTTTGAGGTGTCAATTAAAGTAAGGGTGATAGAAGACCCTTCTTTGGAGAAAGTAACATTTCTCCACAGGATCCTACAGGCAGAATGTTTGCTCTGAGGGCATAGGAGGCTGGGACCAGTGGGCAGGGCTTGAGAGAGGCATCCAGGAGTGGAGTAGCCCTTTCATGATCAAAGCTAAGGATGGAAATAAGATGGAGATGTCCAGCTGGACACTCAGATGAGTGTTAGAGAAATGAATGAAATAGGAGACAACAGGTAGGCTGGACACCCAGGGAAAGAACAAGGACTGAAGAGACCAAATTTGGGAGTACAAAGAGTGGATGGCATTTAAATGATTCCATGGTGCCAATCCAGTGCTGGAGTAAGGTTGTAGACCATCACAGCCTGACCATTCATGAGGCCAGATGTAGATTGTTGCCTCAAAGCTGAAGGTTGGATTGTTTGTAATCAGTAAGTAAAAGCATGATGGAAAACTATTAGACCAGGCAACCAAGCTCCTTTTTTCCTAGATAGGATACAGTCACACAAAAAAGATGAAATGGCTTATAGCAAGTCCTCCCCAGCTGGTTCTCAATTTTGGAGCCAAGGCTAGAACCCACATACCCTGATCCTATCTCTGTCCTATCCCTGTAGCCCACACAACAGTTCCTGAGTGGTGGGGACACGGAGGGGGTACACTGGTGTCATGACTGAAGTGTGACAAATCTTGGAAGATTCATTTATCTTGTTCAGCTCTGGGCAAATGTTTTGCTGGAAGGCCAGTATTTAAACTCCCATTGTTGCCAATGAACTTTTGTACACAGACATGGTCTATTTTGGAAATACTAGTATTCCTAGTATTTGAACCTAAAGTCACTCTCTTTCATGTATTTTTCTTCTGTAGTGTCTTTAGCCTCTAGCACAGTGGGACTGGCTGGACAGGTTGTTCACACAGAAACCACTGAGGTTGTGCTGACAGCAGATCCTGTCACGGGATTTGGAATCCAACTGCAGGGCAGCGTGTTTGCCACGGAGACACTCTCTTCCCCACCTCTGATTTCCTACATTGAAGCTGACAGCCCAGCAGAGAGGTGAGAAACTTTTCTTCCCCAGCATCTTTTTTCTGTTCTGCATTTCTGGTACTGGCTATCACTGAGTGGCTAATTAATTCAATGCAGGAAATGCAAGATGTAATGAACTTTCTGTTCTGACAATAAAATTTTATTTTCTCGATCAGGTTCAAGAATAATTATGAGCATGGATGCCTTTATCTGGCAGATTTTGTCGGTCAGGAGACTAGAAGCTATATTAATTAAAAAGGAGAAAATTCATGCCAAAAATCTGAAGTTCAAATGTCAATACTTTCTCTGTCATGCAGGATGTACATTCATCATTGCTATATGTTGGCTCAGATCAGATTGTAACAGCACTGTGTTTATGAATTATTAATTACTTCTCTGCAATACTTCAGGATTCCTTTTCCCACAATTATAATCATTTAACACCAGACTACAAAACACTGCAGTTGGTCTAACATGATGCCCACAGCATTGAAAAACAAGACCAAATGCTTATGCTGTTTTGCAAGGATCAAACAAGATAGATTAGGCAAGCTCAACCTGATGAGTACTTACTCAGTCTACAACCTCTAACATGTGGCTCTAAATTAGATGTGGGGTGCTACAGATTGGAGACAGAGTGATGGCCATTAATGGAATTCCAACTGAAGACAGCACCTTCGAGGAGGCCAATCAGCTCCTCCGAGATTCTTCCATCACGAGCAAGGTCACATTGGAGATCGAGTTTGATGTTGCAGGTATGATCTGAATCTCAAGTCGGTGGCAAAGTCAGGAGTGGGCTGCATGTGAATTATATTGGTTATGTGGTAGATGGGGAACTGTTTATTTATACACTGGACATGTTTTGTTTAAGAGGCTTGAGGTGTCATTTTAAATTGAGCTTGTATTATTCATTAAAATAACACCACAAGAACAACTGAAAATAAATGTGACAAATTGAATAAGTACTAGTCACTATGGAGGTGATTTTTTAAAGTCTTGTCACCTTTATTCTTCTGGCTTTCCCCTCCAGGCTTAGAGAAACCAGATTCTGTAGTCCCAGAAACAAGCAGAGTCTGCCTGATCCTCCCTACTGCAAAGAGCTTATGAAAGTTGCATAGGGAGAGTGAAAATTCACTAGGTGAATGGCTACAAGCCCAGTAGGTAAACATTTGGTCTTTAGTGTTAAAGACAAATAATTCCTCACACCTATTAAAAATGACAAGGAAGACTTTATTCAGGACTATTTCTGTAGGGTCAAGATGATTGCAATAGGGGAGAGAGACTGAACTCAACTCCAAATACAGCCAGGGCAGGTGGAAAATTATAGGCAGACAAAGGGCAAGGTATGGGTGGGAGGGTCAGTGGATCAAAAAGTACTAAGAGGAACTTGATTGACTATTAGAGGGATGGGACAGGTGTTCACTAAACTGATTCAGGCTTAAAACTGGGCTGTGAGGCCAAGGATAAGTCCTAGTCAAAAAAGAGGACCCAGGGGACCCTAACTAAAGTTTGGTCATGGAAGCAATCCTAGTTAGACGCTAACAGTTTTGTGGATATTAAAGATTGGTGCTAGTTCCCATTTAAGAAAGTTATTTCAGTTGGGGATGTAGCTTAGAGGTAGGGCACTTGACTAGCATGTGCAAGACCCTTAGTTCAATCCCCAGCACTACAAAATAAAAGAAAAAGAAAGTTGTCTTCATACAGAAAATGCTACCCCACAACACAATAACCTTTGCCTACCAGTAAAGATGACACAGGGATCATATTATTCCAACTAGTATTTGCTAAGTATTTACTATGGGCCAATTACTTTCCTATATACTGTAGATTAACAGTAGACAGGAAAGGTAAAATCCCTGTCTTTGTGATGTTTCTATTATAGTAGCACAGAAAGTTAATTTTAAAAGCTACAAATGTAAACTTGATAACAAGTTCTCGAGAAAAATAAAACAGTGTGGGGAGTAGAGAATAACTATGGGGAAACTATTTTGTAGGATGATTTTCTAGGGAAGTAACAGTTGAGTAGAAATTAGAAGGTTAAGAAGTCAGTCACCAACCATCTGAGGATCTGTGAGGAGAGCTTTCTAGGCTGCTGAAGCATATAAAGGAGTGTAGGGTAGGGTGGGTTTGGATTTGAAGGTAGGGTTGGAAAGGCTAGAGGGGTCTAAGTGATCCAGTGCTCTAGTAAAGAATTTAGGTTATATTCTAAGTGTTATGAAACTAGAAAACAAGAGAGTAGGATAACCTGATGAATGGTTTGGAAAGAGCCTTCTGTAATGTAAGGGTAAGATCACAGAAGCAGAAAAAAACAGGAGATTGTAGAAGTTGGCAGGTGAGAAATGGTAGTGGTTTGATGAGGTAGTAGTGCTAGAGGTGGTGACAAAGAGTCAGAACAGAACATGGTTTGGAGCAGGGCTAACAGAATTTGCCCATGGATTGGATATGGAAGAAGAGGGAAGGAGCAGCTCATGGATGATTCCTGAGGTCTAAGGTGAGCAAATGAGTATTAGGTAGTGTGATGTCTTTGGCTAGAAAGAACACTGGAACAGGGGTAATTTAGGAATAGCAATAGAGTTCTGTTTTAGACATGAGTTGGCATCCATAAGCACTACAACAGAAAGGAAATAAACACAACTATTAGCTAATTTAGAAGACACTACTGAATGCCAGTTGCTAAATGATAGACACTGTGCTATGTTCAGATCTTTAGAAAAGAAAATAGAAGGTGCCAATGTATTTCTCCAAGGAGTTTATAGCCAATTTGATGAAAGTAAGACCTGGTGAAATATAATAAACTTGCTAAATTTGTCTGGCCACTGGAATGCAAGAGGAAGGGCCAGGGAAAGCTTAGGCAATACCTCCTGGAGTCTAGGATTAGGGATCTGAGATAGTTAGAAGGGACCAAGAGTGACCAGCATGGCAGTGATTATTATAAAGGCATTGGAAAAGGTGACCACCAGGGAAAAAAATGGAGGAAGGAAACTGGAGGAGGGGACTCTGTCTAAGGAATTCTAAGATTTAAAGAGAAAAGATGCTAGCAAAGGAGATTTAAAAAAAAAAAAGATGCAGTAGGAGAGGTAGGAAGAGAACCAAGGAAGACAGCATTTTGGAAAACAGTTTCAAGGCAAAAGGTCACAATAGCATGAAGGTATTACAGGGAGCTGAAGTAGCATAAGGCAAGAAGTGTCCTTTAGGTTTAGCAATTAGAAAGAAAGACACTGGCAGAGTAGTGTCAGAGGTGTTGGGAGTAGAAGTCAGATCTCAGTGTACTGAGGAGTGAGTGAAAGGAAGAAGCATAACACTGTGCTCCTTGTCTACCTAGGAATTGGGTTTGGAAAGAATTTGGCAGAAAAACAAATGCAGTGAATAGATGTAAGAGACTGGAGGCCAGTGTGGGCTTCTCTTTTTAGAACTTCTACCATATTTAGTTACTTATGCATTGCTCTGTTTTTAATAATTGCCTTATTCTCTATTCAGTATTCTCAGCCTAGGTCATTTGGCAAGGTCAAGAAATTTAGTTATACAGAAAGGAGATAGGATGGCAGATGAGGGGGAGTCATAGTTCGTAGGGGTGTTATTTTGTTTTGTTAAGATTGGAGAGATTTGAGAATGTCTGGGACCTAAAACAGTGAGGGAGAGAAGAGATAATTGGTGTGGTCAGGTCCCCAAAGGAACAGATGAGGATAACACCTACAACGTAGTAGATAACTAGTCTAGTGTGGAAGATAGAAGACCTCTTCCTATGAATTGGAACAAAGGAACCGAGTATATTCTTAGCTGTAAGAACTAAGTTCTTAGCTATAAGAAACTAAGTAGTTCATGTAAGAACTGTCAAGGAAAAGGCAAAAGTGTCAGTAGTATCTTGGGGAATTGAAAAGAAGGATGGTGACTTAGAATAGCAAATGAGGGAATGAGTGAGAAAAACAACCAGAAGCATGGAAAGGGATTTTCAAGGTTAGTAGGAGGCCAGCCAGAGCCTGAAAGCTATAAATTTATAGCAGTGTCAACCTGCAGAGTGAAACAAGGTTATTTGTTGGTGGTAACCGTGTTTGTTTGTTTATTTTAGGGAATCTCAGCTGCAAAGGAGTAGGGGCAGAGAAATAGACAATTAGACTGAGCCAGAGATGAGAGTTCTAGAGAAGGTTCAACAGAACAAGAACTTAAGTCCAAGAGGCTCAAATTGTTAGGAGATCAGATGAATATCTATGACAATAGCACAATAATTATTATGATAATATTTACCAACTGCTTATTTTGTGACCTGTCATATCCCTAAGTACTATGTGTGCATTAAATCACATAATCCATATGACAATAATGGCAGAGGTTACTATTATTATGTCCTCAGAAAACTGAGGCACACATAGTTAATGATGAGGCTGGCATTTTAACCCAAGCAGCCTGGCTTGCAAGGCCACATTGTTAATGACTACACTATACTGCCTGGGTTTGTAAGAATCTAAGTTGGAGCAGGATGGGAATTAATAGAGGATCAGCCTAATAGGCTGAGAGCAGAGGTAGGACCTAAGGAACTAGGAGCCTACTGGAAGAAAAATGGGCATTAAGCCAGGAGAGAGAGCCGATGGCTAGGAGATTGAGGGAGAAGTGATGTTTAGAATTTCAAGAAAGCTCAAGCAAAGATCAAGGTAGTGAAGATGCTAAGGTGGAGTAGAATGGAGGTGAAGATCATTCAACCAGGGAACATCAGGAAAGTGGAAATGCAGTGTGAGGTAAAAAATAAGAGCTATATCTATTAAACCTACTTCATTCTGGACCCAGCTTATCTGATAAAGGACAGGAAAAAGGAATTTAAGGTCATCTCCCTTTCCTTTATTGGTTCCAGAAAGCACCCATTTCAAATGGATGTAAATAGGGCAAGAAAAAAAAAATATGTTCCCATCTGTCATTCCCTCTTCCTCGTTCATGGCAGACATCACTAACTGATATCATTTTTCTCCTGCTGAATGTAGACACAGCATTAAAATCCCCAGTAAAACACTCTAGTTAATCATTACTGATCTATTGGAATCTACTGGAAACTATTAGAATCAGAAAAATCCTTTTTAGCCAGTCAAGAATTTGGGACATTGATAGAGAATCTCTGGTATGAGCTAGTTCAAGACTTCTCTGTCCTTCAGGCTTTGTGCCTAATTGTCTGGATATGAGCCATTCATTTCCAAAATTCTTCCTCAGAAATATTTTATACCCAGATATTAATTCTCTAGCCCTATGTTTCTGAGGTAAGCTATCTGTACTTAATAAATATTTTAAGTGACTTAAAGGTGCTTAAAAAGCTTAACTGTAAACACACTTTCGCCTAAGTACTACCTTTAAATAGGTAGCATTCCACAAACAGCATCATGGTAACTTTAACTGAAAGCCTTTTTAAATTGAGAGTGCTCATAACACCATCTCTCTAATAAATAAAAGTTTAAATTATTTACATTCTTTGAAAAATCCTTCACTATACATATAATTTCATAAATTACGTTTCTAAAATATGCATCATATATTTTTGCCTTACTCGATTCTGTCTTTTAAACATTAGTCCACTATGAATATCATAGCTCCTTGAAGTTCCTACTTTAACTCTGAAATTATTTTATTGAAGAAAGTAAAGCTTTATTCTGAAAAGATGTCTCAGTGAAAATCCTATCAAGTGATCTTTGCCATCATTACTGGAACCCCACCCCCCAGTGCTTTTCTCTGAGTAGCGGGGAGTTAAACATTTACACTCCTCACAAGGACATCCCAGTTGATGAATTATGATGTGGTGGTTATCTTACTGCACCAACAAATGCTTCAGGCTAAAAAGCAGACCAATTGGAAAGAAGAAAACCTTTTTACCCAAATGTGTTTTTAATTATAGTATTAACAAAGATAAAGCAAAACCAGGCAAGTGCAAAATAATCACATTGGAGTCTAATAAAACAAACATCATTTGTCCTCAGATTTATATTTACTACTCTAAACCTGTTGTTTTTCCAAATATTGGAACCTTTTTCTCTTTAACAGTATTTCTTTACAAAACCCCAAATTAAATCTGCCTTTGCTTTAACAGCCAAATAATTATATAGGGACAAAGTATCAAATGTAAAATAAATCATGCTGGCATTTAAGGATTAAAATGAAGCCACAGCTTGATCAAAGAGATTTATTAGTCATTATTTGTTCATCCTTCTGAATGTTTCAAATCTTATGTAGTCAGAAGTGATCCATTACTGTTTTCCAGGAAGTAATAATATTTCCTCTAATGTCATTAACAATTTTAATCTTGGTCAAGTTTCCCTGCATTAAAAATTTATAAAAAGGAAATGTTGCTATAGTAACTATTCTAGATCATGTTTCCTGGCCCTTGTGACTATAAGACCTTACTTGTAGAAGGATAGCATCACAGACAGAAAAGATGTTGTATACATAGATACATAAATGCAAACAAACAATATTTCCCACTCCCCTGTCACAGGGAACTTTTTTTAAAAAATGAAAACAGTCATACGTACATAAAATAGGTTCCACAAATAGTGCAGCTTCATGTGCTCTTGCTTTTGGATCACTGTGTCCTTTATCCAAACAATCAAATCACATAATCCTGCTATGCCTTTGAACATGAGGATGTCACATTTCTGCTTGCTCTCAACCCATTTCCTCTGAATCAATGTATTCATTAGTGATCTTTCCGTTACTACAGAAACATATTCCTGCTAGTTTAGGCAGAGAAGAGGCATTTGCTGGAAGCATGACCTGTGTTTCACAGACAGAAGAGGCTCCAACTAGACATCAAGGCTGTGAAGGCCAACCCAGGCCCTCTCCAGGACTGAGTGCTCGCTCCTCATTGCACACTTGTTTTGTTCTTCCTTCTCTTTGCAGATGAGCTATTGGTACATATGGGCAAATCCTGGCCACTGCCCATAGTGTGCATCCTAACTTCAGATTCTTAAATGGTCACTTGAGAGGTGGGGAGAAAAGGTGCCAATTACCCTTGTGTTATTGGAATGAGGAATGAGCCAGACTTTGGAAAGAGATGGAGGAAAGGCAGGGATTAGAAAAACACATGGAAAGTAAATATTTATGGTACATGCAATCTATGGGAGAAATAAAAATTTTGTCTGTTTTAAGTTCTGCTGAGAAAAGGGAAAGATACAATACAATTCTTAATGATTAAACATAGTATTTTGTATATTATAGTATTTATATATTATAAAATATTTATCTTATGTATAATATATGTGTATGTATATATATGTGTATATATGGATTCGCTTACTGGCACATTAGAGTGTTTGTTAAGGATGAACAGACACCAAAGTTATTTACTCAAAGGCCTGGTCACAGAGGCTTTAGAAGAGTGTGAGGAAGTGGAAAGGCAGCTGATTCCTTCACACCCCTCTGAAGTGAGTCAACGAATAGAGCAGAGTCAGGAAGCCCAGGAGGGAAAGCCCAGAAGCACCACAAAAACACAGAGAAGCAATTTGGGGATCCTTCTTTACAGGTGGTTTTTAGAAGCCTGGAGGGCTGAGTGAAATCAAATTTTTAATGTGTTCGCTAGTTTAATGCTCTGTGGCGACCCTTCGTAATTGGAAGATTAGATTTTGGTCTTGTAAAAAGTTTACTGCCTAAACTTCTCAAGGGAAAGGAGAAAAGGCCAAGAACAATTTAAAGCACAACAAGGAAAGGAGGACTCTAACTCTATTTCCATGAGTCCAATCCTAACTTTCACCTCTACTGTGCAGAGACTCAAAATGTGCTCAACACGCACTTGACAGAATGGACTGGATGCCTGAGGGCCTCTTAGTTCTACCACGTCCCAGAGTTCCGTGTACTAGATGGGGAGAGGTAGCCTTCAGTCAAGCTGATGAGGCAGTAACAGAAGTTTAGCTGGCCTATACCACAATCTTTCCCTTCTATTAATATTTCCTTTGCTCTTGATGCCTCTTTGTACTTTTTCTAAAACCTTTAAGAAGTGATTGTAGTCCTTAGTAACTTAGAATTAATACATGCTCTCTCCAGAGGATATTTCCACTTAGCACTAATTAAAGGTCCCCCAGACTGCTAAAAGAATTTCAAGAACATGCTTAGGAATATTTAGCAATTGCTTCATTTCTCAGATATTAGTCAGGTCCTAGTAAAATTAGCTTAGTCCTACTGAGGGTTGAGAATCAGCTTGTGCACAATGGTTTTTTCTGTTGTTACAATACTAACTTACTTATTTCTGTACTGGATGGCCATTATCTGAGCCCATCTTCAGCCTCCAGGGTCTCCTGGTCCTCTCTGAGACCTCCTGAAACTCTCCAGGATCTTGAAACTTAAAGGGTCACTCTTGCTGAACTTGGGGACCTCAGGGTCCCTGTGTTCCAACTCAGCATTCAATATAATTGGTCGTGACCAGTATTCTGGTTGTGAAATCTTATGAATATGGATATCATTCATGCTCCTACCCATCTCTCTCTTTTGGGGGGAGGGGATTACTGGGGTTTGAACTCAGGGCTTTGTGCTTGCTAGGCAGGCACTCCACAGCTTGAATCATGCTTCCAGCCCTTTTTAATCTGATTATTTTTGAAATAGGAACATTTTGCCTAGGCCAGCCTGGACTGCTATCCCCTTATTATACTCTTTCCTTGGTAGATGAGATGACAGGTGCATGTAACTGTGTCCAGCTATTGGTTGAGATGTGGGTCTTGTGAACTTTTTGCCCTGACTGCCCTCAAACCACAATCCTCCCAATCTTAGCCTCTCAAATAGCTACAATTATAGGCATTAGCCACGAGCACCTGACACTGCTTCTACTTCTTTATACTTTTTCATTCCCATCCCCAAACAATAGCCATCACACCAAATTGACATCTTTTCTGAAATTTATTCTCCTGCCAACTTCAAACAACAAATAAAAAAAGAAGAAAAAATTGCTGGTGAATTATGGTTGGGGGTTGAGGAAGCACATAATCAGAACTGGGGTTCCTAAACTTTAGTATGCCTATGCATTTCCTGGAGAATATGGGTGTTTTTTTTTTTTTTTTAGTATATACAATTTTATTCATCAGTTATACCTCAAAGCTGACAAATAAGCAAGGAGTAAAAGTAACAGAAGTAAAGTAATTATGGATTCAATGCAAATTGTATCAGGAAAAAGCTATAGAAATAACTTCAAAGTTGATCTTATTGTTTATCAGAACAGCATTATATCCAAATCATAGCTGATGTTTATTCATGTGGCAGGAAGTTTTTATAGTACATAGATTACATCCCAACAGCACTGTTATAAAGTCTAAACCACTGATTTCAAAACCGAGAATATGTTTAATGTACACATTCTGGGGTGGCTCATATCTGTAATCCCAGCAATGTGGGAGGTGGAGATGAGAGGGTCACTGAGGCCAGCTTGGACAAAAGAGTTAGGGAGACCTTATGTCAAAACACAAGCTGTGCCTGGTGGTACACACCTGTGATCCCATCTACATGGGATGCAGAGGGTCTGAGGTCTAGCCCCAAGCAAAAGCACGAGACCCTATATGAAAAATAACTAAAGCAAAAAGGTCTGGGAAGTGTGGCTCAGGTTGCAGAGCACTTGCCTGTAAGCACAAAGCCCTACATTCAATCCCTAATACTACCCCAAAAAATGCAAATTTCCAGGCTCCATCATTAGAGATTCTGATTTCATACATCAAGGATGATTCAGGAATCTTTATGTTTTACTGGGCTTCTGCACCACACTTGAGAAATATGGAACTCAACTGTGGCTGTGATTGTAAACAGCTCACCGTGGGTAGAACACACATCATTACAGGAGCTTAGTTTATCTGGATCTTACAGGCAATCAGCCTACTTCAGTTCCTACAATTTGGATACCAAAGTCATGATGCAAGTGCTCCCTGATACATTTTCACTGATGGGTACTCCAGTCTTCTCGATGTTCTATAAACACTTTCTTTTGTTTTCAAATTACAGAATCTGTCATCCCAAGTAGTGGAACATTTCACGTAAAGCTCCCTAAGAAACACAATGTGGAACTCGGAATAACCATAAGTTGTAAGTAAAAGTGGTTTCTTTAGTTAATTCATAGGCCCAAGTAAGCAGCCAGTGCTTTTTAAGAAAAGTAGTTTAAGTACCTGTTACTGAAGCTTCTCAAATTTTAATTAGGAAAATTGTCATTCTGTAGGTGTTTCAAGTAATAGACTTATTCTTAAAAACTGATATAAATAAAAGCATAATTTATTCAGTATCCATCAAAGAAATTGGTGTGATGCTTCTTTTTTAAAAAAATACACATTTATATATTCAGTTTCTTTTTTAATTATAAAATTTTTTATTAGAACGAATCCATTAATGGGGGAATTCATAGTAATAATTTCAGTTAGGCTTATACTGTGCATTGGTTACATCATCTCTCCCACTCAAACCCCTCCCCACCCCATCTACAGCAATTGCAAGAGGTTTCTTTGTTCTATTTTGTATAAATATATGAAGTCCATCAACCATGTAGCCTCACCGTAATCTCCTTCATTCACCCTCCTCCTTCCCACTAGTACCCTCCCAATTGGTACAATGTATTCAGTTTCTTTGAGATATAGTCATGTATGCAAAACTTCAAAATACTTGTTTTATTCACATATATAGTCATTTGCAATTATGTTTTATGATGGTGTTTTATATGCACTAAGCATTAGTTCTAAAATTGGTATAACTACCAACAATGGTAACAACCCAAAAAAAATCCCACAAAAATGGCTTGAATTTTAGCCAGCCTTAAACAAGTGCTATTCATGGAAACTGGAAGTGTTATGCTACTGGATGGAGAAGTGATGTATAAGCTTGTCACACATGCTTGTCAGCTCTTGTAGAGTTACAGCTACATTTACACAACTAATCATCACCATGCTGAGTTTGTGTCTCCTTGTAAAAAATACTCATATTTTGTCAGTTGAGAAAGCAGAATTTGCTATAAAAGAAAAAAAGCCAGGATCCATTTTCATTCCTATGAGATAATAAACTCCTGAGGCCTCACACGGTTCCTGGCACACACAGGGTACTCATTTAATACTTGCATATGTTGAGCAAATGACTAAGCAGTCTTCCTCAGCAGTTCTCTACTAAACACTGTGTCCTCCAGGAAATGAACCCATTGGACTTCGATCACATGATAAAGCGAGAGCACACAAGGGAGGGATGAGGATAGGTAAGACACCCAAAAAACTAGATAGCAATTGTTGCCCTCAATGCAGAGAAACTAAAGCAGATACTTTAAAGCAACAGAGGCCAATAGGAGAAGGGGACCAGGAACTAGAGAAAAGGTTAGTTAGAGAAGAATTAATTCAGAAGATAACACACATGCATAGGAAGCAATGCAAGTCAACTCCCTGTATAGCTATCCTTATCTCAACTAGCAAAAGCCCTTGGTCCTTCCTATTATTGCTTGTACTCTCTCTTCAACAAAATTAGAGATAAGAGCAAAAAAGTTTCTGCCTGGTAGCAAGGGGGTGGGGGGGAGAGTAAAGGGGCGGGGGGAGGGAGAAGTGGGGGGAAATGACCCAAACATTGTATGCACATATAAATAAAAGAAAAAGAAAAACTAACATAGGCAATGAATATAGATGTTTATGCAAAGGCCATTGAGCGAAACTTTGAACAGAGAGAAAGAAAATTAAAGTGCACAGCTGACAAATTAATTCCCTAAAGTTGCACCTATTATTCCTATGTTTTGGGTAGGCCTAAGTCTCTTGTCTCCATATTTTCTGAATAGTAACAAAAGCCATCTTAGTCATGTTTTGGATAGTAGACCACCTTAAACTCATTGCCTCTGCTTGGAAATTTACTAAAATGATTAAGGGATGGTAACTGTGACCAAGTGTCTAAATGAAAATTCAGCATGAAATCCCCCAGATAAATATCCCAGGCAGGAACCACAATTTTAAGCCTTCTTCACTCTGATCTCCTCCATGTGAAACAGGAAACATTTGTCTTCCCCTTTCCTATTTCTCCCAACTTTACACTGTTTTACTAAAATAATTTTTTGCAAAATTTTTTTAAAAAGCAAAAGGCAGTTGCATGGACTAAAGAAACCATAACTTGGAAAATGATCAAGAATGAGGACTCAGAGACCAGACTGCCCCTCTCCCTTATCTCCTCACCCTCTCTATCAGGTTTCCTCTTTTATAAGGTAGTGTATGTATTCCCTTCTGAATAGCATTGTTGGCAAGATTAAATGAGTTAGTACATATACAACGCCTAGAATACATTGTGAACCCTAATGAATGTTAGTACGATGATCACTAGTTACTTTGCACATAAGAACCTAATGAAATACTTTAAGCACAGCTCTATATAACAATATCTGGTGTTGACTATAATCATACCACTTAAGCAGGAGATCCAGGGATCTCCTTTTCAAACACATGTAATTACCGTGAGAGAAACTGAGGCACTGCAAGGTTATTTTTTTACTTTTCTCACTGTTTTTGCACAAAATTCCCTCTCCATCGTCTTCATCTTATGAAAACTTGAGTCTTAAGAAGCAACTCTCCATTGTAGGAAACATACATACTATCAAAACCATTAGGGCACCCTTTCCAGACCTAATTGACTGAAAAATGAGCCCCTCTGATTTTGGGCACATTGAGCAGTTTTAGTCTAATTTTCTTAAGTTTCTGATGAAACATTTACAGCACATTAGCATCAGACATTACTTTTGTTAATGCTATAGCTATAATATAGAGTGATTTATTATATCAAATAAAGTGGAACAACTTAGCAGAAGGATGCAGTTTGGGACTGAAAGCTGCATCCAATCCCCTCATACACCTGCCAGTCAGAAATCACAACTCCTACCTTCCAGCACAGCCGCCTGCCTTTCAAGTCAGAGAACCCTGGTTGTCTCTGTTGTGTGCAGTTGTCAATAAAGTCCTTTTGACACTGGTGATATCTTTTGAGATTTTATTACAGGATTTCTATCTACTCTAGTGCCTAGGCATGGCACTAGGCAATTGTATGTTTTTATTTAATCCTCAAAACAGCCCTGTGACCTCTATCCCCATTTTATAGGAAGGGCAGTACAACTCAGTTGGGTAACATCTCCAAAACCCAGAGCTAATAAAAGGTGAAGCAGGAGTCCAAACCCATTCTATCTGCCTTAACCCTGGCTTTACTATAACTACAACACTCAGCCCTGTCAGCATCTGATTGATGAATCTTCCTACAACCTATATCAAAAAAGCAAAAGGCAGCATTTTGTGTGTGCAGTTAATTTGTTGGCCTTCTTTTTTAGTTATGACTTGTTTTTAGGAACAAAGGCTTGCTTTATTTTTTGGAAAATCATAAAGAAGCCTTTATGATAAGCACAACAAATCTGTCATTCTGCTTCGCCCCGAGTCTTAAGCATACTTACAAGCAAATGGTTCATGTTTTTGCCAACTTTGCAATAAAAACTTTACTCACTGCTCCATTTAAAAACAAATTACTTGTTTTGTTTGTCACATATGAGGTATATGGTTGAAATTAAAGTTTAATGTGAGAGAGAGAAAGGGAGAGAGAGAGAGTCCACTATAGTTTGGACATGTCATTGGTCTCTGAGCAAAGTACCTTGACTGGCAGAGTAAGCTCCACCGTTCTTGGATTACTTTGTTGATTCCCACTTAATTAGATTCAAAATTCAGCAGAGTCCACTTGTCTTCAAAGGCAGAAAAAGTTATTCAAACAAAAGATACAAACGTTCATCTTCTACCTCCTGTGACAACTATCTGAGAGGAAAGGAATCTGTGTTTTCTCCAGCTGAAGGTGGCCATTCTCCAGTCCTATTCAATATAGTTTCTTAGGCAGAGCAATAAGGCAATAGAAAGAAAAAAAAGGGTACAAATAGGAAAGCAAGAAGCCAAATTATCCTTATTTGCAGATGATATGATCTTAACTTAAAAGACCTTAAAGATTTCATTAAAAAATTCTCTCATCTGATAAACACTTTAAACAGCAAAGTAGCAGGTAACAAGATCAACATACTAAAATCAGTAAGTTTTTCAATACAACAAACTTACTGAGAAATAACAATAATAAGCATACTGAGAAAGAAATCAAGAAAACAATCCCATTCATAGTAGCCTCAAAAAAAATTTGGAAACAAAATTAATTAAGGGGTAAAAGACCTCTACAACAAAAACTACAAAACTCTGAAGAAAGAAATAGAAGATGGAAAGACCTCCTATGTTGATGGATTGGCAGGATTAATATTGTGGAAATGGCTGTACTTCTGAAAATGATCTATAATTCAATGAAATCCCCATCAACATTCCAATGATGTTCTTCACAGAAATAAGAAATCAATCCTGAAATGCATGAGAAGCAAAATAGACTCAGAATAGCTAACACAATCCTGAGCAAAAAAAGGCAATGCTGGAGGTGTTACAATACCTGACTTTAAATTATACTGCAGAGCATAATAACAAGAACGGCATGGTACTGGCACAAAGACAGACATGTAAATCAAAGGCATAGAATAGAAGACACAAAAATAAGCCCACACAGGTATAGCCATCTGATTTTTGGCAAAGCACCAATAACATACATTGGAAAAAAGATAGCCTCTTCAACAAATCATTTGGGGCAAACTGGAAATCCAGATGTAGAAGACTAAAACTAGAGCCCTATCTATCACTCTGCACAAAAATCAATTCAGATGTAAGACATGAAACTTTGAAGCTACTAGAGGAAAACAATGAGAAAACACTTGAAGGTATATGCATAGGCAATGACTTTCTGAATAAGACTCCAATAGCTCAGGAAGTAAAAGAATTGACAAATAAAACTACATCAAACTAAGAAGCTTTTGTACATCAAAGAAAACAATTACCAGAAGAAGAGACATCCTACAGAAGAAGAGAAAATCTTGTCCAGCTATTCTAGTAACCAGACTATATAAAGAGCTCAAAAAACTAAACACCAAAAGAACAAATTGCTCAATTAATAAATGGGAAAATGAATATACAGTTCTCAAAAGAAGTACAAATGGCCAATAAATATAGAGTAGGCCAAGAGAATGAATA